CAGAAACTTAGTTGGCTTTTTATGATGTGAAATAATACTTAGGTTTTGAAATGAAACAAGAGTTTCATTTTGCTGGACATTGTTTTACTCTGACAGAGTCAGTATTTATGTGTGGGGTATTTTTTTGTTGGTTTTTGTTGTCTGTTTTATTTTTTAAAAATAAATACTTTAAAAATAAATAATACTTTCCAGTTTTTCTCTTGTTTTCTCAGTTCGATTGATGAATGTAGAAAAGGCAGCTTTCCCTTTTTGGAGAGTTTCAATTAAACTCTCTCTGCAGCCCATGTAGCTCTGCGTGCCCCAGTTAATAGTTCTGACTGTAATATTTGCAAGATGCACTATGAAAGTTCATGTGGCAAGTAGACTTGCCTGGTAAGCATACAGGACTGCAAGTTTTGCATACGATTTATATGATCATAAAAAAGAAACATACATTCTTCTTCAGTATTTGGTAATTACATACCTGAGACTCTTTGGTGTTTGTTTTTCTACAGGAATTAATGAAGCAGCTGAATGGCATTCAGGTAATTTGTCACGTTTTCTGAGTTTCGGGGAGCGTTAATACTGTGATTTCAGAACTTGTTTTAAAATCCTGTTTTGTATGTTTAATACTGTGCCAAAAAAAAAAGTGAAACACTGACTCTGGGTTTCCATGCTGAGTATATTATATATTGTGTACGTGTACATTTGAATAAAATCTTTTTTAGTATGTTTTGAATACAGCATAATTATTTTGCTAGAATCTGATTTTTCTTTAAATGTGGCTTTTGAGTTGTTATGAAGTGGCCAGTGAAAACATAGGTATATTTGAGCTTAAAAGTATGTCACCTTAAGCGCATATTGCCTTCCCCAAATGGGCAATTCCTCAAAGTCTGTGCTTCATTTCTGTAGAAAAAGTGCATACTTACCCTTTTAACAGCCCCTCTGTATAAAAATAGCTCTAGAGTTAATTCCCATGCAATGAATATAATGTGTGTTTGTATCTTATCATTAGATACTTTTATCAGATTTTGCTGTATAACCATTAGTTGCACCTTCCTACACACTGCTATTATTTTAAAGCATTAATTGTTTGTTTTTTCCTTTAAGAATGCAGAAGCTGTACACTTTTTTTGCAATTATGAAGAGAGCCGAGGGAACTACCTAGTAGATGTAGATGGCAATCGCATGTTGGATCTCTACTCTCAGATTTCATCCATCCCAATAGGTAGGAGACAGTTGTATCAAAACTTTTTGCTTTGTCCTCAAGTTGTCATTTTCTTATCTCACGCACTACCAGAGAAGTTAGTTGATTAACTAAAAAAAACCAAAGCTGACATAGTGTATGCGTTGTTGCGATCAGGGTACACACTGCGGTGTATTATGTAGTAGTGTTTTTGAATAGCTGAAGAAACTACAAATTCAATACTTACAGCTCACTTGAAGTACATAGTGGTACCTGGAGGAAGCTCTAATATTAATCTTAATTTGAATATGCAAGTTCCACAGTTTAGGTTGTCTTTGCTTGGATTTGTGTACTTTGATTCTGTAACAGTATGTTACTGTTTTAAATGTTAACAAACATAACTTCAACATTTTAACATCAAATTATATGCTTTAGCTAGAACTGAAAAAAGGAGTTGGCCATGTGGACTCCAGTAGGATGAAACAAGACCAAACACTGAACTGTGGTGCTAAGGGAAAACAAAGGTGGCAGGTCAGCTGGGCTGAGGGACCAAACAATGGACTTGTCAAGCGCTTGGGAAAGGCAGTTGATTTTTTTGTGAAGCATTTCAAGAAAGAAAAGAAATGAGGCAGAGATGTAGGCCCCAACTGCAAAGAATATAGTTTTCAGTAGGTGTTCGGTTTGTTTGTTCCTTGTCCACGGTTCATCTCAGTTGCTTAAAAATACAATTTCTGCAGAAGCAAAAAGAGCAGAAGTGGTGGGGTAATTTAAAAGGTGGATGTTGTGCTATGTATAGAAACCGTAATGACTCAAAATCATCCCTACAGCCTCCTTTATTGGGAAACAGAATTTAGTGATGTTCAGGTCGTTACCAAAATTTTGGCATCTAAGACTTTGTGACTGCAATGGGTTTTCTGTTATCCCAATCTTCTTTGCAGTTAATATTTTTGCCCTTGTGTAGCACCTCAACAAATGTGTAATCTTACCAGAACTCTTCAGTATTTGTAGCTTATTTTCATCAATGCAAGTTCTAGATATTTTTTATCTTGTAGAGGCTGTACTGAGATAACTTGTCACCGCTAATGTGGAAATAGGGGTGAGACAAAGGAGCACAATGCTTGTATGCCAATGCTCATCTAACTTAAATGGGATTGGATTTTAGGTTTCTAGGAAAGGAAGTGCATTTAGTGTTCAAGACCTCCCATTCTTGACACAAGAAATGCTGATTTGGAGAAACTAGTGCGTGGTCATGTAGCCAAAGGAAAGTCAGTGCCTACTGCAAAAGAATGACATTAAGGTTGTACAGACAGGGCACTGAGGCTTTCTGACTTTCTAGTGCTTGATGGTGCAAGCGTACCTCTTTTAATATAGTTTTTGCATATAAAATATTGAAGTATTAGGAGGGAAATATTTTCTTAATGGGCAGAAATAGGCAGGGGCTTTTGCAGTTTACTTTCTCCGGTTGATTGAAACTGCTGACATAGATATAAGGCTCCAGTACCTATAACTGATCCTCAGGTAAGCCATCTAGTTCCTCCTTCATGTGTGGCAATGCCTTCTTGAGCGTAAGCTGAATTTTTTGTCTTAGAGGATATGTTCCTCTGTCACGAAGGAACTATAGTACAGTGCTTCATACACCTTCTCAGATAATGGCTTTATCATTTGTAGCAACAAGAAGTAAATGGAAATTTAATACTTACAGGCTGATGTAAATCTAACTGAACACACAACATTAATTTATTTTTTTAATTTGTGTATTGAACAACAAGACTGACTATCTGAAGCTGCAGAGGTTGCCAATAATGTCCCTCTTGGTGACAGAATTACATTCTAGACTGGGACACCAAAACAAGATCACAAGGTGCTTGCTAGTCATCTGTGCTTATCTCTCTGCAAGTAAATCCAATAAAACCTTTTATGAATCTGTCAGGACTCCCCAAGATTTAATAATGATCTGCTACACTAGAATATATTTATCAGCAGAGGTTGAGAGGTAATAAGTGCATGTGTGGAGAGATAAGAATTAAAGTATCAAAAAACCTCTAGGCAAAGATGTTCTGGACTGTTTCTTGCTGAAGAACAAAAATTAGAACAGTTTTTTTTACACATGGCTTTTGGGAAGTTGTAGCACAACATACTCCTTTAAAACCTGTATCTAATCTGTCTAATAGAGTTAGAAGCCCCATGGAGCCACATGCACGAGGGGATTCTATCAACATGTTTACTAGCAAACATCCTGGAATAGCAAATGAAACAATCTGTTTTTCAGTGGTGGGAAGGTCTGTGTGTGTTAGGGGAGATGCAGAGTGGTGCAGTTTGATGTTATTGACAGCAGCCTGCTGCTCAGTTCAAATGGATTCTCTGGGCTTTCTCCATTTCATTATTTTAGCAGCCTCCAGTTTTTTTCCTTTTGCAGACAGGCACCTTCATGAGCCTGGAGGACATGTACTTTCCTGTCATATTGATCTAGATGCACAGCAAGAGTGATGAAGGAGGTGCCCTTCTCTTAAGAGCCAGCTCTGTCACTTCTTAAAGGAATGTATTCGTAAAGCTACAAACCCTTGCATTGGTTATGGCAATGAAACAAGTTACTGTCTCTCTGCTGTCTCAGCTGAGAGCTTTTTGACCTTGTCTACCATAGTTATATAGTAGTTATTTAACCATTTAGTTCTTCCTGGTGTTAGTTTTATGACTGTGAACCCATGTACCAGTTCCGCATCTCTCTACACGCAGACCTACTCTTTCAGAAACAGTCAGGCTTTAAGGATTCTCTCTTCTTTACTGGGGCCTGTTTGAGGATGCAGCAGTGGAACAGGGAGCGTTAGGAGGAAAGCCGGGCCACTCGACCTGAAGTGAAGAGAACAGGAGAGACATCTTGTGTGGGTGGGAAAGGTTAAGTTATGGGTAATAGAAGCCTTGAATTTGTGTTACATAAGAGAAGATGCAAAGATCTCTGCGTTCTTCATACATCTTAACACCAGCAACAGAATTACATGTTTTTACAAGCAATACCAGATAGTTAATGGTTAAGCTTCCTAAGCAACGGTAGGTATTTATAACAAACATCTGTAAGGTTTAGTTTGGAGATTTCTAAAACACTAAATACACTCTCGGAGGTGCTCTCAGCAGTAGCCACAGCAGGACGCAGCTTTCAACTGTGTCATTCCCTCTAGCCTAACAACAGTTCTTCCCATGACAGCAGATGCAGTGCAGATTTAGTTGTCTGTGTCCCAAATCACCGTGGGTATTATCTTCATAATAATTTTAACAGATTCTTTGCAGCATGACATGCAGTTAAAACGATCTGGATATTTCCTTGTTTTGAACTAAAATATTTAAAATGGAATTTATAATTGATTTGTTAACGCAACGCAGTAGCCTAATGCTCCATTGCTCAGACAGGCTAATCAGGGCTATTGTCATTCAGTCAGAATGAGGGGTTCAGAGGCATGATAAGCTTTTGAAATAAAATTAGAGTGGTCTGACTTCTTGAGCAGTAGGGAAGATGAGGTTTCCAGCTGTTTCTACAAGGGAATATAAAAGATGATGTTAATCTCTGGCTTTGGCATTTCATACATTAGAAATCAGGCTTAAAATGAAATTTTCTGGGCTCCTGTGAAGATTTTTTTTTTTTTTTTAACATCAGATAGGTTGATTTACCTGTAAGCAAGTTATCCCATAGAACGTCAATGGGTATAAATTAAGCACCTTTGTTGTGTTAAACCTGAAGCATCCTTAGTCTCTTGATGTTTCTGCGTAAAAAGGACAAATTGTTGCATCTTTTTCCAAATAAAAGTTTATCAAAGTAAGAAAAATGGGAAGGAGAAAAAAGCTGGTCATGAGAGAAAGTGAAAATTGCAGAATCTCCTTATTTAATACGAGACAGCAATTTATCAAACAAGTCTTTTTATGATGGTTCACAGCTGAGGTATGTCAATCTATGACGGAGAAGGAAAGATTTCCAGACAGGTGTCTTGGGATGACTGATGGGTTGTGGCGGGTTAGAGATTTGGGTGCTCATTAGTCCATGAGTTTTAAGTGTATGGCTGTCTAGGTAGGCAGCCTGCTCCTTCTGGTAGGATTGTTAATGATCATGCACAAACATCGGCAGTATGCAGGGCAAATAAATGTGCGCGTATGTATACGGGAAAGCCTAGATAATGTGGAGACCAGTATGTGGACATCTTAAGCTCAAGTTTGGCAGTGTCTTGCGCAGAGAGAGTATTCAGATGGCATCATAGAGGATAGTGGTGAACGCCATCCAACTGCGACAGATGTCCACAAACATTGGCAGTATGCAGGGCTGGAATATGCATCTTCATGTGTGCAAATAAATGTGCGTGTATGTATACAGGAAAGCCTAGATAATGTGGAGACCAGTATGTGGACATCTTAAACTCAAGTTTGGCAGTGTCTTGCGCAGAGAGAGTATTCAGATGGCATCATAGAGGATAGTGGTGAACGCCATCCAACTGCGACAGATGTCAAGGAGCGCTGTCAAGCCATTGGCAAAATTCTGTTGGAGTTCCAGGGATTATCCCTGCTGAGTCTGCCCTAACGTGTGCTCATTGCACGCATCGGCAATGAAAAACCAGCTCTGAGAACAGCACCGCTGTGCTGGTAAGGTTACCCTACACCATCCGGCTCTGTCTGCTCAGGGGCAAAAAGCCCTTGCTGATATTTAGTTAGGACATTATAATGCACTGAAATTACAATTGCTAAAAGAGCTTTCTTTGGGAAATCAATAAATACGTGGATTTTTGCTTGTCTGTTTCTTCTGGTCCTCTGCCAAGGACTGGGGAACTGCATGGAAAAAAAGAGTAAAGGGGGGAACGTATATGTCGAAGTTGATTTTTACACTGAGGAAAAATCCGATCAGTTTAAAAGCGCAGTGGGGGGAAAAAAAGCTCTGTTATTGTGCTAGGAATAATCAGGTTGATATTCAGGGAGGGTAGAAGTTGCTATGAGACTAGAAGTGTAGCACCAGCTGCTGTAAGTGGCCAGAGCTGCATGGGGAGCTTCCCTCTGTGGTTCAGAGTGTCAGAAGCCGTCTCTGAAATGGCAGTGCTCAGCGGGAGGCACAGAAGCCGAGCAGACCAGGGTCCCGGTGAGCGAGAAGGGAAGGCAGCCTGCTTCAGGGAGGAGAAACTGGGGTCGCTTCTATACCACAGCTAAGTGGTGACCAGCAGAAACTGGTTTGTGGGCTGCATTGGTAGAAAGTGATTTCTGCTCTTAATTGAGGAAGAGGAAAGGTTTGCACCTTGTACTGTAGACAAACCGAATACAGGTGGGAAACCTAGAGAGGAGAGTGAGCCAGCATTTAATGTTGGTCCCACAGTACTTGGTAGAAACTATGATTCTTCCATCAGGCCCTACCAGGCAAAAGATCCACGTCATGTTCATTTATTTTTGTGTTCAATTTGTAATCTTCAATACTGAAATATACTTTGCTATTGCCTGACACAAAATTTGTACCAAAGTTCCAGATAATATATTTTGTAAAAGAGAAGAGGTTTATCCTACTTCAAAAGAAGTTCTATTATTAGTAGTTAAAACATATACAAGTTACACAGAAACAGTCAAGCATTAAGGTTATTCTCTGGGTTACACTTTACATTAGTTTATTGAGACCAGATAGAAATAACCATTTTCTTTCTTTGTTCTTTTTAATTAGGTTACAGCCATCCCTCTCTGATAAAGCTTCTACAGCAGCCACAGAACTTGGTAAGTGAATTCAAACATCAAGTACTTGAAGGAGTCCTCTCCCTCCTTGTGGCGGTCTTTCTCGTTTTTTCTTAAACTGATGATGAATGCTTAATGACTCAATTTAAAATATGATAGGATCTGCTTTCTTTATTTGTCACTAGATGAAAAGAGCTTGGTAATGTTTAAGAAGACACCAAAACCTCTGTGGAGCTTTACAAGAAGTAAACATTTGGATGATGCAAGCACTTGATATGTTTGCAGCCAGTTTTAAATCATGGTTCAGGCATAGTGTTTCCAATTAACCATTTTAGCAATGTTCTTCAAGGAAGATTTGTGAGCCTGAAAGCAAATACAAGTCCTTGAGAGAAAATACAGTATTTTGAATACGAAAATCATGCCCTAAATCTGGAATGCTGTGGGTGGTTTTGAGTTTTTTGGACAAATTGAAATCATTAGACTAGAGCAACAGGATTATTTCAAAACAGACTAACTGCTTCTTAAAGTATCTTCCTGTTTTCCCTAACAGTATACTGATAGGGATTGGAAGTAACCTGGATTAAATTACGGAAATTGTTGAAATGAAGTTGCATTCTATTTCAGGCTTCATTTTTTCACTGCTTGGACAGGAGTTTTGGATTCCATAATGATTTTGTGCAGTTTTTTAAATTGTAACTTTTTGGCACAATAGCTTATGCATATAGTACATTGATTAACTGAGCTCTCTGGGTTTTGACTGCACATCAAGAGACGCTTGTTGGTTGTACTGTCTTTAGTGACTTGAGCCGCGGTTTCTGCAAACCAGTAACGGGTGTCCGCGCTGCCTGCAAGAGCATAGCTCCAGTGTGGGCCAGTGGGTTCCTTCTCATACCTGCCTTTCCCTTCCAAAAGAGCCTGCTGGCTCCCTCCAGCAGAGTGCAAATCCTGAGCCAGCAGGTCAAAGAAGTGCAGACATTTGAGTTCCCTGAGCTGATTTGCTTCATGGAGTTCTCATTTCTTCAGGATGAGAAATCTTGCCTTCCCCAGAACTAAAATACTTCACAAGTTTTTTTAAAAAAATACCAGGGCTAGAAATGCTGGAGTTATCAAAGGGTATTACAGAAGCACTAATATTTCTAAATACTTACGTTAACTTGTAAAAATTATTTCTGAGGAGATAACAATACCTTCATTATAGTGCAGTAGCCAGCAAAGTCAGATTTAAAAAAACAAACAAACCAACACCACGACGACCCCCCTGCCCCCCCCCCCCC